TATTGTTTTCGTCTGTTGTTTGAAAATACACTAATAATAATAAAATCATTTAATATTATAGTGTAGGTATAAATAAACACACCACACTTTCGACGGATTCAAACATTTGCACTTCCTAACAGCGAATGGAAATTTAGGTATATATGGCTTATTAACGAGCGACAAAGTTCGTTCATGGTTTTCGACTTTTTGTCCGTGTATATGATAACTTACGAAGGGGCAATGGTCAAAGGACTGACTGATTAAATTTTGGTCAATACTATAGTCAACAGGACGTGACGTTGTCGCTCGTTATCTACATTGGTCCAGTTTATTAAAAATTCCAAGACTTGCGAACCGAATCGCTCTTCTTTAAAAAGTACTTAATATAGTTCGTTTCATTTTTAACAAATATTCACCGTAGCACCGACACAGAGGACGTATCAAAAGCTTTTTCCGTAAAACGAGCTTTTAATGTAATTGAAGTCGACCTCTTGGTAGTTGAAAAGAGAAATGCAAAACAATCATTTTTTTCGCAATGGTAACCTCTCGAGGATTTTATGTACCTATATAATCAACATTAATTATTTGCGGTTCGTTTAAAAAAAATGGGCCAAGTTCCTGAAACGTCGAAAAAAGTTAACGTAACAAATAGGTTTTGGAGTTTTTAAAAGTTTCGTCGTCGGGTATGTCACTATAATTCAAACTTTATTGTTATCTGCCTTTATCGCTTTCAAATTCTTGTCTAATAGAAATTTTGCCCGTTCACCTTTTTACGAGCAAGTGAAGCGCTTTCAAAGCTTTCCGTACCAAATTTAATTAGTTAATTACATTTGCTTCTCTTTTAAGATTTTTTGTACGCTTTAAACTAAAATTTATAGTTGAGACCTTTTACCGGAGAATATATAATTAATGTTCGCGTGTCACCATTTTTACGACTTTAAAGCGCATCTCCGTAACAAAAATTGGGAGTTTTTCTTTCTCTTTTAACGTGCTCGAGGCACATACACTTTATAGGGCTAACAAATTACGACGTTACCTTTACGAGAAATTTATAGCAAACGCAACAACGGCCTTAAAAATTTTTCCTCGACTTCTTTAGGTATTCCGCGGCGGTCTTTGTTAATTACCCTAGAAAAAGCGGAAAAATGAAAAAAGTTCTCGTCGTCGTTTTCGTGACCTACTTCGACCCTTATATTTAAACTTTACTTTGGTGATACAACACAACTGCAAACGTAATTTTTTTTAGAAAACTGTAACAGACAGTGCAGTGTCACGCGATCTCACTGAATTTCGTTTAAATGAATTACACTCTTAGCGACGGCGTTTCCCTAATGTACGCAATTTCTTTGAATTTTATTGTTGTTTATTCAACGCCAATCTCGCGTGATCGATAATACGAGATAAATTCTAAGAAAACAATACAGACTTAAATAAGGATTTTATACGCGGATGGTGGTTCCATAAACGTGATGATTTCATAGAATATTCCTTATCGGGACGTTTTCTCTGTTGAATGAAAAACAGCGTCGGTATTATACTTTGTCTGTCTATCCAAGCCGATTGTATGTCTGCTTTCTTGAAAAAATGTAAAAAATACACAAATGTAACTCTGTCATAAAATCTATATTCATCCACATTGCTAACGACTTGCAAACAATCGCAAATACATAACTAAAAATGGCAACAAATCGGCATGTTATGCACGTTTCATTGCTTGTTCCAACACCACTGTATCTGTTTCGACTGAATAAAAATTGTTCACTCCTTCTTCTACTAGGTACATTGTGGATTACACTAATTGTCACACTAAAGCTATCACTTTGTTTTTCTAATAATATTATACAGGCTGATTCAAATTCGAGGGTCACCATGGGGATCTCGGAAGCTGTAAGAGATAGGTAGGTAGTTTAAATGCGAAAAGTTGCGTATTTTGATGTTTAACAAAATGCCGTTTTGAAACTGAAAAAATTCCGACCACTTCCGTTTTGCCTAGAAGCTAATTCTTATACTCCAGCCTTAAAAATAGCTTGATTTAAATGTCGTTTTTCGTCAAATTGTTTTGCTAAGAACCCCGCAACCCCCTACCTGAATCCGCGCTTGGCAACAAGACGCCATTGAAACTTAAATCGGCCCACCGATTGACTTTCGAACAACGTTGCCAAACTTCTCAGCATGGCTTGTAATTACAGACGGCTGTGTTTTTATGCACTTGGGATATTACTGTTGAGAAACGACATTGACAAGCACCGCCAACAAATGAAAACGTTCGCCAGATGTATATAAAGCTCAATTTTTGCTATTATGTTTGAGGTAGTTTCGAACGTGCGTGCTAAATTCGATTATCACCGTAAAATTTACTAAAGAGTAGGTACATAATGAAATATATATGACGTTATTACGAATTCGAATGACCTCCGGGATCAACTGAATCATGAAACATAATTCATTACCCGTTTGACGGTAATCAATTAAAGTGAAACCAAATTAATATTAACAAAATATAATTAATATACGTGGTTTTACTTGGCCCGACAGTTGGGCACTTGCCTCGATGCGCGAAATAAATAATACATGTTGGCGATATATCTTGCTTGCTTCTGTCACACATAAATTGAGTTGTCAATTTAAAAATGTGTTGCTATTGCACACCAAAGATCTGTGCATTATAAATTGTTATCGTTTATTTTCATAACATGTTTTTCTTCCTAACTTTGCTGCTATTGTTTTATTTTGTGTTGTTTTGATTTTTCTCTTCAGTCAGTAATATCGCCGCAGATCGCTTAGGAACATAATTCCATATTAATGTATGTTTGTTTCCATTCGTACCTACTATGTTTTTACAATTTTCATCTCGGCTCAAAAATTGATAAACGAGAAAAAGCCCCAACTAAATGAATGCCATTATTGTGCCAGGTTTCAAATAAAATGCTAGCTGTGATTTGTTAAAAAAGTTGATTTTATTTATTTGCATGTAGAAAAATATTGAAGGGTAGATAATTAATTTGAGAATTTCGATGTGCGGTTTTCTTTCAGGCGACTAATTAATTAAATTTGGAATAGTTAGTCACGCCGTGAATAACGACAAATGCGGTTTATCCTACTGGTTAATTACGTTGAAAAGAAAAACTATTCTTTTATGATTTGGTAGGTGAACGTGAATCCACAAATCGCACATAATTAAATTAGCAAACGTACTGCTTAACTCAGATTATTAATTAAACATTTCCAGTGAAGAGCTTCGGATTACTTATTCGTAATTACCTATATATGAACAATTTCACACACGAGTGTACACGAAGTGCACATTGTATTGTATTTGATGTAATTTCAATTGTGGAAGAACGTACCACCTGCACCACTTCTTTTTCTATACCTAATCCGTTAACGAGGAGACAAAAGTTAACGTTTCCACGACCATTAACTATAAAACCGACGGCGTACAGCTTAACGCGAAAACAAAACAATGCGATTAAACATTTCTATATGTAAGCACCTTTCGAAATGGTTTTTTAAACCACATAAAACCACCATTTCAAATGCTATGAGATCCAAAAGCATATCTTTTGTAGCAATGAAACACAATTTTATCTCAACTACTATTAGGATAATTTTAAGGCGTCACATTAATTTTCTCAATCGGTGTCCGGTGTCACATTCGAAAATTCGTTTCCTATTTCGCGTGATACATTGATGCCGTTTTATAATTTTTTGTTGCAAATTAAGTTTCTGAGAGCTTTATTCTACTTTGTCAAATGATCGCTGAATGCTTTGCGCAGATGTTATGGAACCAATTTCATTGTACCACTTACACACAAATATAATATTTGGTCGAGTTCTTATACACAGCCTATACGTTGTAACTAATAAACAAATTACAAATATCTAGAGCGAATCTCGAGAGATGAACTTATATAATACTGTTAGCTTTGGCATCGTATTATTTTGGGATCAATAGTCTAAAAAAAACAGAAATCTTACTTTCCTGTTATTAATTTTTGTTATTAGGTAAGTAGGTACACGTTTTATGAAACAAAACTGAAAAAATCTCATCATTACTTTTTCATGCAAAAAAAGCAAGATCAATTATTAAAATTTTAGAATCCAAGTGTTGACTGTTGAACAAAATTACGTTTATTCCTCTTGGTCAATTAAAATGAAAGCGAATGTTTAGATCACTAACTAAATTCCTAAGTGACCAAGGGGACAACATTCTAAATTTGTTCGTTCATGTAAACTTACGAGATGTATCTATTAAGTCACACGAAATGTCGGAAAAGAAATTAACAGCATATGAACTCAATTCCCACACGAGATCTGTTCAGCGTAGAACATAAATAACCTATTATAACTAAATAAATAACTACTCAGGGGGAAAGGGGGATCTACTTAATTCACTTTTCGGATAACAAATGGCTCAACCCTCAATAAAAATTACTTCATTCAAAATGAATTTACCGAATTATACAATATGAACACATTTTGAAGCACGTTAGAATATGAAATAAACATAACTGCATGAAAAGTAACTACCTACCGCGCCGAACCCAAGAGAAAACTTCATTAATTAAACAAAAAATTAAGCAACAGGGACTAAAATGTGCTTAATTAAAGTTTTCAGCGGCATACTTTTTCGGAAGTTAATGCGGCTTCCAAAAAGAAATTACAGTCTTTTTTAATTAATAGAAAATACCTAACTAATCAGTGCATCATTGCCGAGCCGCATGAATTGGTACCGTCGAAATTAAAAGAATATTTCGTTCACTTTTTTCTCCCCGCTTTTAAATGTCGTAAATTATAAAATCAAGTTGGATTCTTCCGCGATCGTAATGAATAGAGTGAGGGGAAATGGGATTTAAACATCTTGTTATGTATCTAGGTAAATCATTCTCAACCTACGCCAACAGAAAAGAGCTTAAAAATGTTCGAATATATAATAAAAGCGCAGGCGTCCGAGCTTCGCTCTAAATCGACGGCGCTCCGGTTTTATTCCGGCACACATTGTGGCGTCGCGACGCGATTCAGACGTGCTGGAGCGTGTAAACGGTAAAAACGCGCGTGACTCCAAAAATCGTAAAAATTTCATTAGGAATGATTCACGGTGAAATGTCGTTATTAATTGAAGTTGGGGTGGAAGAGTTGGACACGCGTGATCTTATCCAGCAAACAAGTTTTTAAAGCACGCAAAGATGTTGAAGTACGGTTTTAAAATTAAGTAATTTTTAAATATGTCCGAAAAAGTCTACTATAAAGCGACTATCGTGTACAATAATGTTACTTCGTCGACAACGCGCGTCGACCACAAAGAATATGACAATAAGGATGAGTTTAATAATTGGTGGGGCCTTTTGGCGTTGGTCCTTGTCATTGGTACGGCAGCCGGTAACATACTCGTGTGTCTCGCAATAACATGGGAGAAGCGGCTGCAAAATGTTACAAACTACTTTTTAATGTCATTGGCCATTACAGATCTTATGGTTGCCATTTTAGTAATGCCGTTAGGCATTTTAACATTAGTACGCGGTAAGTGTGATGTATGTCGTATTTTTTCCAGATTTCGTGAGCGCGTGGAGTTTTACAAATAGATATGACATCGGGTCAAGGATTTATACGAAAAGAGAATATCGTATAAATTAAAACAGGCGGGAACAATAAAAATAATCAGCATCAGGAAATTGGAAAATTGTACAAACATTCGATAACGGACTATAACAAAGCGCACAATTCTCACACGCATATAGACAAACAAGCAGAAATGCCTTTACTTTACGATTAAGAGCAAAGCATTTAACCATTTTTTTTAATTGTGTTCAGTGCGAATAAAATTGAAAAATAAATCACACTCTGGTAAATTATAACGGAGTGTTAAGGTAATAACGATTAAAAAGAGACAGAGGTTATGCCAGTGAACGTGAGTAAAATTATTTTCCGCCATTTCCCTTTTGTCGAAAAATAATTGAGTCGCTTTTTTTTTAATTAGAAATACACTATTGCAAACACTATATGTAAATCGTCAATAAAATTAATTATTTAAGATTTTGTCGTTATTACAGTATTGCACTGTACCTGAATCAATTTCGCCAATGTATAAACAAATCCATAAACAATGTTATTAATTTAATTGTACCCCACTTTGTTCAATGATACGTCTCCAAATTGGCAAACTTGATAAAAGTATCGCCGGCGCAAAAGATATGATTGAAAATGAAAACTTTAGACGCATTTCGTAAAAGTATCGAACATAAAACAAAAGTGGGAAAGTTTTACTTCACAAATTTGGTACCATTAAAACGTTTTATATGCGCGAACTATGCTTAAAAATAAAATTAATCTGAACTTCGGGCCGGAGGGCGCATTGTATTTTCAACTTGTACTTTATGCCTATCTTTAAAGAGATGGAAAGCACACGCTTATCTAAACGTCTTTCTATATTTTAAGAATGGTTTATGTGAGTTAGCGAAAACCACTTTCCCAGAGTACGCATCCTATTAAGTATGTATTGTTGTTATTGAAATATAGGTAAACACTTTTCTCCCATCAAATCATTTTCGGATTCAAATACCCTACTTCGTTCAATACTTCAAAATTCGATAAAGTGAAATTAAACTTGAATTGCATAAATAGCGCTTTGAATGCAGAAAATGCGACCTAAATGGCTATACGAAGCATCTATTAAGCTAGTTTGGTGCAAATCTCTGCGTCATACTTTTGTTAAAAAAATCAGTTCGTTCAGGATAATTAGCAGGATCACAATTGAGTACATGCTGTGCAGCTTTTCCGTAACAAGTGCGTTTGGTAGTTCCCCTAATAAAACTGGTAAACAAACTAAGTTTTTGGAAGGATAGGTATTTATTTGACACCTACGATTACTACCAACAACACATACATTTCGTTGGCATCTATACCGCATTCCTAGATGTTCACACTTAAAAGTTTCGACCATCACTACCACCAAGAACTTCATTGCGCACGTTGTTTTTATTAATAGGGTCTACTGCCAACATACGAAAGCCGCTCCACAAATAAGCAAGTTGATTTTCACCACCAGATAGACAGACAAACAAAACGGTTAGGTGGTGGTGATTCAAAGTAATGAACTAAACATTTAAAGAGATAAAATTTGCATAGGAATTATTTTCTCTACGTTTACAAAGAAATCACTCTGATAAAATGTACCTACCTTAGCAACCCCGCAGGTCGCCATTTGAACCGTCAAATATACAACTCATTTCTGCTGCTGTTTCGCATACTTTTCATTAATATTCCGTTTGCAATGGACGTTAGTAGTGATAGTGATAATAATTAACATGCAAGCCTCCCGAAGTGCAGACAATAGCGTTTATTTTTAGAAAATGCGCTAAAAAAGGTAGTACCTATACGCAAATGTATACAACATTTCTTGCATTAGTCCTAGAGAAAGTATAGTCTTCTACTTGCGTAGAATGGTGTTCACTCGTTCGCGTGCAGTCGCTCGTGTTGGAATCTTCCTCCACTATTACATGATATTATATACAATCAACATTTTACCAAAACTTTACACATTCCCAAATATATATTTGAAAGGAGCTTGAAGCACAAGCAGATGAAATTTACTTATAACAAAACAGACGAAATGGCGTATTTTTTGGAAATGCGTTAAAAATTTTCAACAAATTCTATCGATTCGCGAAAGTTCGAAGAAACGTGAGAACGTCAACATCCCAATTTTTGGTTTCATCATTGATTTTGGTATGCTCACACATACACACGGAGAATATTTGAATACGGATAAACATTAGTAGTACAAATTAGGTAGTACCATTGAATAAAAACACTATTTATTCAATGGTAGTACTTAGAAAATTGGTTATAATTTTCCCGTTCCATGATAGATCTTTCCGTTATAAAATGCTTTCTCAATGATTCCCGCACAAGAAATGTGAAACTTCATTTCGTCTATTAGGTACCTTATACGATTGGAAAATCTGATAACAACCAAATTTCGTGATGAAATTTTGAAGAGTGGAAACATGCTTATTAATGCACACTTCATTTTTCATATGTTGAAATTATACGAGTGATCTCCATAATATGCAAAGTACGAGAATATTAACCGAATAGCATTCATTTAATGCAAAAGGAAAGGAGTTACGCGTGTCCAAAAATTCGACACGATACCTCGAAATGTAAATAATTTAAGTGCAAGCGAAGGTCTGAATTTCGAATTTACATCTCTCCGTTTACGGTTTAGCGAAAAAGTTAAAATAGCGTCGCTCGTAACCACAAAATTAACAAGAAGTAAACAAAAAGATTAAAGGCCATTTTAATTAGAAGGGTAAACACCATCTGCCCCATACGCAGTTCAGAAGTTAACAAATTTCGAAGCTTTTAGAGTTTACGTGTTGAAAGGTCTATTATTGAGCGGTCCCTCAATAAAGATTATCAAACAGTACGCTCTTCTAACAAGTACATATATAGAAAATTGTAAATGTCAATGTTTCACAGCTGCTACTTTTAACATTAAAATATACTCACTCGATATCTTTAAAAATTGAAGGGATATGCTAAACTTTACTCCAATTGAATATGTATGATAGGAACTCGACAGACGTAAGAAAATACTGCGAGTCGATCTGTTTCGTTAAATAAAATTTTTACAAATGCGTGGGAAAAAAACGATAGAAAAAAGAGATTGATCGTCCTAATCGTTCTATTCCGGGGAATCTTTCAAATTTTAAGTCGATCACCGTATACATAACCTACTCGCTGGTTCCCGACAACGTTCCCTACAGCAATTTAACAACTAATGTCAACATACAACTGAACAGAATCCTTTGTAAAGAAAATTCACGTCTTGGGATTGATTAACGTAATGGTGTGAGATTAGAGGATAATGCGGCACTCCATTCTGGTATTACGTATAATAAGCTCCCTGTCGTGATTTAATTCCCTTTTCCATTTCTATCTGGCAGAAGACGTGGAAACCAAAAATTAATAAACAAAAATTCTCGTTGAAAATTGTGAAAATGTGACAGTAATTTAAAATAACGAGATTCATTTTGAAGAGCACATTAAATGACAATTAAAAATAAAAAGCGAGAAGTTGAGCGGTTAAGCGATTTCACATCCAGTTTCAGATTTATTCAACAGGAGTAACCATGACGACACATGTTGCTTTATGTAGATGTCTTAACGTCCGAATTAGCATTATAAAATATTACAGTTAGCGGCGGATCGTAAAATAGAATTGTAAAATTCCGACAGAAATCGTGTTAATCTGTATTTGTTGTAACTGTTTTTACAACCGATTCGTGTATCTGTGGTATGCAAAAGTCATCGGTTCGGACGATAGGTGTTCGAAAACGGGGACAACAATTTTCATTCGGTCAAGCAAAACTTGGGTTGTAAACAAAATAAATCTACAGATGAGATCGTTCTTAAGAAACTTGGCTGCACATATGTATGTTAGGTACTCTCATCTAGTCCGAAAAGGCGAAATTCTTTCTATAAGTAGGAAAGATGTATGGGTACCAATCGATTACTAAAAATCGTTTAGCCAACTACAGTTAAAAATGATTTGAGAAATGTCGTCGAAGAAAGTCAAGATGTTTTTGAAATATCAAAATACATACGTATACCCAAACCGAAAGCAGATTGGAAGGGACTTCAAAGTCAAATTTAAAAATTTCCCAATGCATAAAATCGCATCTATATTGATACCCGAAAGTGGTCATATTAAGACTGGTATTACTCTCCAATAATCCAATATGAATACCTACATGTAATTATGTAACTAAAGTCACAATCGACTTTTCCATAATAATGAAGATGACAAAACCTATTGTGCAATCAATTGCCACCATTGGATTGAAAATTGAATGAACTGCCCTAAAAAAACTAACTTTGGCGCGAGGCATATCTGGACCAGCATTAAATTCGTGAATTATTTCAGCCAGAATCAGTCTTGCCTTGTATTGCTGTGGCTACAAGAAAAAGGAAGAAGGCGTTGAAGACCACCAACAGATTTCACAATTTTGTACGTTGACCAAGTTTTTTTGTAGGTTCGATATACAATTGTGAGTTTCAAAAACTATATGGGCTAATTATACTTATAGGAGTCGCACCTATGGAAATGGTATAAACAACCTTGAAATGCTCTGGAAGGTACATAAGTGAATCTTCAAAAAACTATCTAATATGGAGGCTTTCGAAAACGTTAAACGTTTTTCTCTTCTAGCTCTCTAAAGAGCGTAAGTATGTCACGTAAGAGACTGCAGATCCAAATTAAAATTGCAGGTACATTGTAACAAGTATAAATTGTGCACAACTCTTGTGCAGATAAAACGCATTTTTTAACCGAAATAACTTTTGTTTTGAAATCACCAATGGATATATTTCTTGCAGACGTCTCAAATTGCCCTTTGTGAGTACCATCTTTCGACAATCCGTTCTTGAGGTATAAGGGAATATACCCGATCACGATAAGAGGTCGAGGAAGAGGCCTATGGTTGGTAGAAATTAATTTCTTTCGCAGAAGTGGGTTC